GTCCCAGTGGGGCTCAGATTTTTAAAACAGAGCCCAGCAGCCTTTTCTACACATGGGTCTCTCATGTGAACCGCACTTCAGGGAGAAGCCTGTGCTGAACTGCTATCTGTACTGTGTTCCTGCCATCTGAGTCAGCCCTTGTCAAGGAGTTCCTGGAATTGTGTTTCATCCATTAGGACTGAGGCTCCCCCACCTAATGACTCCCGCCCCGTCCAATAGAGCTGCACAGCTCCGTCCCTATCAGTACCATCACTGATCCATCAGAGCGGCTTCATTCTGTCCCATCAGGACCTTTTTCATGGATTTGGAGTCCTCATTTGCATAAGTACAAACCAGTCAGGGACCAGAGATTTCTCTATATAAGTCAAGTTCCCTCCGGCTTGGAAAAGGCACTTTCCCTTTTCACTGAAGACTAGAGACTGCATTTCCCAGGCTGGAGCTGAAACGCCTGACGAAGGTATCTTACTGGACCTGGGCAGAGCGGGGCAGACAGGGTGAGAGCCACCTCGGAGATGTGCTGTTTTACAGCCAAGCTGTTTCATAAGTGAGCTATAACACTACTGAAATAGCCGTGCTGTTTCATAATGGAGCTGTTTTCAGTTTCTTTCTCCACTGCACCCCAAATTGGGGATTCCTCTGAGCACTGAGTTGGCACCAACAACCACTTGTTGGCAAGCCTAAGCTGAGGAGGCTCACCAAAGAACGAACCCTTTTCTTCTCTCCTCTTCCCCCCCACCTCGCCACAGTATCCCAGCTTCACACAGAGCTGCCCACCCTCATGGGGCCGGGTGGGCTGGGACAAGGAGCACAGTAGTGACTGACATAGTTGAAGACAAGAAGGCCCCCTTCAGATATTCTGCTCCAAGTTAGAACCCAACCATGACCTGAGGAGTAAGAGATGGCTGAGATTGGGTCTCTGCCAGCAGGATTCAAATGAGGCTCAAAGCAGAGTACATGTGAATTAGAGGAAAGAGAAAATGTGACATTTAAAGAAACGGAATTACAATCCATCCTTCACAACATCTTTCATATATACGTGACAGCAACCATAACACTGCATCACTGACATCTGCTAAGTGATCCATCCACACCCAGACAATCACACACTGTCAAGGGAAGGCTCTCTCTAGGTCCCCAAAACACATCACGGTTTTGCAGAACACAGGCCTGCAAAGTTAGGCTGGAAGTAATTCAATTCAAAGTGAAATATATGCACAGAAAAGTCTTAGTTTTTAAACACAGCATTATTTAATCCTCTTTTAAAGGTGACAATACACCATTGTTTAAGGAGCCTGCTCCGCACCCTTGTGGCCTCTTCAGGGTGAACCAGGCCACAGCCACTGGGACCGCAGGGGCCGGCAGGGCTTCCCATGGGTTCCTGCAGGAGCCAGTCTGCAGGCTGGCCAGGAAAGAGTGCACTGCCTGCCGGCTTTCATGTGGTGCCACTGGCAGCCCAGAGGTCCACGCTGCATCCCAGCCCATGGGTCTGGCTGTGCTCACCACATCTCCACAGGGGGACTTGGGCACCGTGACTCAGGCAGAGAGGGGTGCACAGGGGCCCACAGTCCAGGTGCTACCCCAGGCCCAGAGGTCATCTGGGACCTGCCCTTCCATGCCAGACACTTGTGCTTCGATCGCCAGCCAGGCCTAGGGACTGCACCTGTGCACGAATTTCATGCACCAGGCCTCTAATATATAATAAACTAGCATGGATGCTTAAAGGTATTACTATAAGAACATTCACTTTAGTTACATTTATAGTCTTCTAAATTTGAAATAGCCTCAATATCCAAGAACTAAAGATTGGCTGAATAAATTATGTCAAGTCCATTATACATCTATGCAGGAGAAATATACAGCTCTTAAAATGGGGCTGTATAAGAACATTAAAAAACTTATTAGAACATATCCATAGTATACTAGATAAGAAAAGAAAGTTGTAAAATATTACCATATAATTTTTGCAGAAAAGATATACAAATGACTAGAGGCTATACAATATAGTGTTTGTACTAGGAGAATGGAATTGAATATAACATTTTTTTTTCTTTTATAGATGGGAAGGTTCCAAGTTTCCCAAATTTTCCAAAGCAAGAATGTATTTTTATAATAATCAGAGCATACATGTGTTCTGGTTTTAAAAGATCCACCTGAGGCTGAGAGGCTGTCTTAGAGGACCTGGGCCATGTGTTAGCCACATTCTTTTTTCTTCTTTTTTAAAAATATATTTTATTGATTTTTTACAGAGAGGGAGAAAGAGAAAGAGTTAGAAACATCAATCAGCTGCCTCCTGCACACTCCCCACTGGGGATGTGCCCGCAACCAAGGTACGTGTCCTTGACGGGAATCGAAGCCGGGACCTTTCAGTCCACAGGCTGACGCTCTATCCACTGAGCCAAACCGGTTTCAGCAGCCACATCCTTATTCCCTACAAAAGAGGGAGTGTGGTTAATAGGACACATGGAGGTGGGACTTAAGGTGGAAGGTAGATGTGAGGGCTCAATACAGTCCCAGGCTGCTCTGCGAAAATTGCATTTCACTGAATTTGCATAAGCCATGAGAAAACCCAAACCCCTTGTCCCTAAATTAATCAGCTTCTAGAATTTGGACTTCCAAAAAGAGCAAGCAAGAAAGCAAGAAAGAAAAGTAGAAAGGAAAGGGGGGAGGGAAGGAGGGAGGGAGGGAGGGAGGGAGGGAGGGAGGGAGGGAGGGAGGGAGGGAGGGAGGGAGGGTTACATTGGCAGATATTTCTGTAAGAACATATGAGACAAGAAGAAGCAACCTGCACAGGTTTATAAAAAAGCGTGTGATGCTTCCTGCATCTTAACAGAAATGAAATATTGATTTAAAGCAAGGAATGGTTTTTTATATTCTCAGTGGGTCTCGGAATAATTTCATGAGGCATGGCATTTCAGAAATAGCACAAGATTTTAAAGTTTGCTTACTGATTATACCACACTGGACTTGATCTAAATGGGATTTAAGGCTGTTCGTAAACAAAAATAAATACAAAAGATGAAGATAAAGACATTAAATATTAAGGTTATAATTTTTGTCCTAAGCTATGTACTTATTAAGTAATCTTGGCCAAATTACCTTTTTAAATTGCAGTTTGCTCATCACCCAAATGGGGATAATGATAATACTTATGTGGCAAAGTAATCTGTTGTAAAATTAAATCATGTCTAATTTTTGCCACTGTAGACCCATCAGAAAGAATTTCATTTCCTCCCAACCTAATGCAAGGAAGGGACCTACAATCAGATTTAATTTGGCTTTAGAAACAAGGAGTCATGTGACATTCTCACAACCAACAGCAGTGGAGAAAGTTCACTTCTTCATATCCCTGGCATGAGAGTTAAATGAAACAATGGAGATCATATGCTATATCAATTGCCATGCAATGTTAGGAGGTTAATTACTGTTAGTAAAAATTGACTTGCCCAACCAGTGTTCCTCAGGAGTTGAGCGTCAACCTATGAACGAGGAGGTCACTGTTCAATTCCCAAACAGGGCACATGCCTGGGTTGTGGGTTGCAGGCTCAATGCCCAGTAGGGGGCATGCAGGAGGTAGCTAATCAATGATTCTCTCTTATCATTGACATTGACATTTCTATCTCTCTCTCTCTCTCCCTCTCCCTTCCTGTCTGAAATCAATAAAAACATTTAAAAAAATGCCATTCACTTCACACAATGCTATACAGCAAAATGATGCAGGAGACCTGGATTTTCATCCCAGCCCTACACCACCTAGCGGCTGAGCCATGTCTCCCTGCTCTGCAAAATGGGAACATACTCTGGGTCTTGCCCTACCTCACAGGGTTATTGTGAGGCCCAAGTGAGAAAATATATGTGCAAAGTCTGAGGAGAATGTCAGACAAGGGTGATCTATAAATAAGCCACAATCAAAGTCGGTAAAATGCTATGAGCTCTGAACACCAAACATGGATTAAAACTGATTGATTAAGTGGTTTCATTAAAATAGTCTATATTAAAAACAAATAATATGCCCTAACCGGTTTGGCTCAGTGGCCTTCGGACTGAAAGGTCCCAGGTTTGATTCCGGTCAAGGGCATGTACCTGGGTTGCGGGTACATTCCCAGTAGGGGGTGTTCTGGAGGCAGCTGATCAATGATTCTCTCTCATCAATGTTTCTAACTATCTATCCCTCTTTCTTTCTCTCTGTAAAAAATCAATAAAATGTATATTTTAAAAAATAATAATAATAGTAATCCAAATGTCCATCAATAGTAAAATAGATAAACAAAATTGTCATAAAAAGAATAGTCACAGCACAAAAAATGAATACATTTAGTATATAACACACATAACATTTATAGAAAGAAGCAAGACAAAAAGAAAAACAAACAAACAAAAAAACAGAGACTGTGATTCATTCACCTAATGTTAAAAATAGACAAAATAAGTCAGTTTGCTCAGAGAAACCTACATAAGTAGTAAAATTCTAACAAACAGTAAGGAAATAATTATCACAAAGTCAGATTTTTTTTTCCTGTTTGGGAAAGAAAGGGGATGGTAAAGATGTGAACAGACAAATAGGAGGGACTTCATGGCTTGAAGGCTATGTTAAATTTTTTGTGTATATGTGCATATATATGTATATTTTATACATTTTTCTATATGTGTATTATTTTTCACAATAAAAACCAACAATAACAACAAACCTACCAAATTCTGTATACATTGCATATGTATATAAAAAGGCTTTTTTTTCCTATAAATTTGTTTCAATTCCAATCTCAGAAAATTATTCAGACTTTATCTCTTAGAAAAGAAAGTATAGTTACATTAGGCAGGCTATGGTGACTCAAGTTGACTACTTGTCTACTTATTAATAATTTCTAACTGCTTAGATATTTTCAGGGTCAAATTAAAAATTCAGTATTAACAATAAAAGAACTATTGGGCTATAGACACCACCTGAGCATAACTTACACCACCAGCCTAAAAGGAAATGCATGTCCACATCAATGACTTACCAGCTGGCTGTGTCTGTGCTATTCTCTTAGGATAAGTCTTGCTTCGGCTTCTTGCCACATTCTGATCTGGCCGGGGAAGTTGAATAGAAAGATCTCGACTCATTTGCAATGCTGTCCTGCCACTTGAAAATGCAACATTTTTAATTAATACAAGTAAAACCACACAGTCACAAAATTAAACAACGGCTCATTCAGAATATCTGCAAAGTATTTCCAGAATATCTGGAAAGAAGAAAAAACACACACTCACAGGAGCTGTAAGCATACATGTGTTCCCAACTGAGTCACACTGCAATATTAACCAAGGAAGTAGTATTAAATCCCAATGGGAAACATGTACGTTAGATGGAAGGAATATGTTTCGGGAGAAGAAACAGGAAATGGGGGGGGGGGTAATTAAAGGAGGACTAAGGTTTAGATTTAACAAAATGATGGGCTAGCAATAGAGAATTTTGATTGCCTTCCAACTGTACAACTAAACGTTGGGTTGAATTATGTAAGGGCAATGACTCTATATGCATCAGCATCACCCTATGTTAGACTCACATGGCAAGTTGTACAGCACCCCCTCAGGACCACTTTGTGATTTACTCTTCACCCTGCCATGGCACAATCAACCTTTTATTATGCTCGCCTCGCCTGCACTAGACCAGGTGCCCAGGAAGATTTAAAACAGCCTGAAATCCCATGCACAGGGCTGCTTTCCTGAAGTTCTGTGAGGATTCAGAGCTTTCTCTGGGGATTGACTAATCTCTGGGAAATGTGTAAATTCATTCGCTGTTTTTCAGTGAACATTCATCCTACTAAAAATTCATCCCACGGCGGCTGAATTTGAGCCAATGAATGACCCTGGCTTTCATCTAAATATGTTAAGTTTCACTTAGGTACAAGGAAAATTTCACTTAGGTACAAGGAAAATATCATTAGGGACAAGGAAAAATGCATTTCTATTTATCTAGTTTAATTCATCTCAAGAAGGTCCAGAAAGCCTTTTAATGGCTCCAAATCCTACTTGTCCTACATTTACAGAACAAATATCTCCCAAATGAAACTTATAAAGCAAAATTTACCTCCTACATACTTCTGTGAAAGTTTTCCCTCCCCACTAACGCATCTACCTTTATTAGATTTTTTTTTTTTAATGCTTAAAACAACCATAATAAGAAGCTTATCATCAGGCTAATTGGGGACACAACTTGATAAGAGCTGCCATGAATGAAGATGCCAGGGTCCAATACTTCATGAGAACTGGGGTAGAGAGGGAAGCAAATTGTGGCAGGTTAATAAAACTATGGTCCAGAACCACACGCCAATCTGCCACCGGCAGTATAGGACCCAGGACTAGAACAAGTTCCCTGATCTCCAGCTGGTCAGCATGGCACAGCCGGGCAGTGGGAGAATATTAAGCCATTGTACTGCAATTGCAAGCATAGCTCTGTCTCAACTGTATGGTCTTAACAGGTTATTTTTTAAATCTCCCAGAGCCTTATTTTCAACATTGATAATATATGTCAAATTGTTCTTATTTCCTAGCGGAAATATTATTATGCAGAATTCTTACTATTTCCTTGTAGCAGACAGTATTTGATAAATGGTGGCAGAGATTTATTCCCATGATCATCTACTCCCTTCCTCCTCACACTCTGGCATGCACACTCCCATTCTATGCTGAGTGGCTCTGCAGCCCTAAGGGAGGGGTAGAGGAAAGAGAACAAGAACAGAGACACCTGGGTTCAAATCCTAGCTTTGCCACTTACTGGTAAAGGCCTTTAGTTCAGTTAGTTTACTTTGGGGTTTGAGATTCAAATTTCTCATCTGTATAAATGAAGAGATACCTCCTTTGGCAGGTCACTGAGCCATCCCATATTTATTTTATGGGATTAAATAAAGTGACACCTGTGCAAGCACCCGACACAAAGAAGGCTCTCGTGAGTATTTGTTCTCTTTCAGGCTTTAAGAAATGTGTAGCCCTGGCCGGTGTGGCTCAGTTGGTTGAGCATCACCCCATGCAACAAAAGGTTGCTGATTAGAGTCCCAGTCAGGGTACATGCCCAGGTTGTGGGTTTAATCCCATTTTGGGGTATATGCTGGAGGCAACCAATTAATGTATCTCTCTTTCTCCTCCTTTCCTTCTCTCTTCCTCTTTCTTTAAAATCAATAAATACATACAAAAAAAAAAAAGAAAGAAAGAAAGAAAGAAAAAAAGAAAGAAAGAAAGAAAGAAAGAAAGAAAGAAAGAAAGAAAGAAAGAAAGAAAGAAAGAAAGAAAGAAAGAAAGAAAGAAAGAAAAAGAATCGAGGAAAGTTCATGAGATTTAAGTCCTACAAGAAGGTCATCTGGGTCCCCAGGGGTGTTTCTCAGGCCCAATTCTCATTCTTGGAATATACATAAATTCTACACAACTTATTCATCAAAACAAGGAGCCAAAACCTGTTTGGCTCAGTGGTAGAGCATCGGTCTGCGTACTGAAAGGTCCCAGATTCGATTCTGGTCAGGGGCATGTACGTTGGTTGCAGGCACATCCCCCCTAGGGAGTGTGCAAGAGGCAGCTGGTCAATGTTCTTTCTCATCGACATTTCTAACTCTCTATCTCTTTCCCTTCCTCTCTGTAAAAAAACAAAACAAAAATAAACAAGGAGTCCCCTACTAACTTAACAACAGGTAAAGGCAAACTTAATTTCTAAGGGGTCCAGAGAAAGAAATATAAGTGTATAACAAAATATTTTAATCAAAGATTCGATCAAGTTCTGTTTCAGATTATTGGTCTCTGATAACGAAACAAAAGAATCAGATTGTTTGATTTCAGCTCAGATTTTCCCACAAAATCTGGAATTTTGATTGTCACATATCACTAAAAATGTGTTATATTTCCCCCTTGCTAAGTAACGACTCATTTCTCTAAAAAAAAAAAAAAAAAATTTTGAAAAAAAAAAAATTGAAATCTCATGGACATTCAGCAACCACAAGATGCAGGAAAGGGATCAAGACTAGAACTCTGTCTTCCTACACCACATACACTTACAGACGTATCACTGTAAATATCTACACATAATTATGCACATAAATGCAGACACACCTGCATTTGCACCCTGCAGCACTTGCTATGCTTTTCTATCCCTCATGCCCTCAAAGCCTGCCGGATAAAGGAAGAGGCTCTGCTTCCAGAGCACTGCCTTCATTCCACGAGGTCTACAGAACATCTCAAAAGAGAAGCAGGCATATAATGTTTGTTAAAGGCTGGAGATTTTTCCTCCTTTGACAATTAACAATTCACATACTGGCGACTACCCAGCAATTCGAGACCCATCCCTGCCCATGACCGGCTCTGGGCAGTGGGATGAAACACATTTCTTCCAGGGATGGTGTAACATCAGTGCTTTCTACAGACAGAGATGGAGATTTGGGTTTCATTAAAACTGACTAGGCAGTTAAGACCAGCCACCAAATTAGAACAGATTTAGCAGAGCTTCCAATTCTGCAAAGGTTACCTTTAATTACTTTCTTGGAAGAAATGATATTTAATATGCAAAATCCAATAATAATAATTCCCAGTAGCCACAACATTTGCATTTCAACAAATTTGAGAAATCAGATATTAATAAATTTGTAGAAACTAACTATAGCATATGTTAAGCAACATAATTGCAATTTTAATAATAGGAACACAGAGATAGAGTTACACATTTTCTCTATAACCCTTGACATGTTTTATGCTCTAAAAGGAAAAACAGCCCAAATGGTGACTATTATGTTCACCTCAACATAAGTAGGTACTCTTCCCTTAAATTCCTGATAATTGTATCACTGTCTGAGAAAGAACCTTGATAAGCAGAAGGTTCTATTTTTAGTTATCAGTGAATACCAAGTACCAAGAACATTTATAACTTAATTACTTAGGTTTTATAGGTCGTCATCAACTGGACCTGCATTAGAAGGCAGTTGGGGGGGACCAGGCCTGCAGTGGAGGGCAGTTGGGGGAAGCCAGGCCAGCAGGGGAGGGCAGTTGGGGGGAAGGGGAACAGGCCTGCAGTAGAGGATAGTTGCGGGGTAACAGGCCTGCAGGGGAGGACAGTTGTGGAAGATCAAGCCACCAGAGAGGGCAGTTAGGGATAACTGGGATAGCAGAGGAGGGCAGTTAGGGGAGACCAGGCCAGCAGGGGAGGTCAGTTGCAGGAACCAGGACAGAAGGGGAGGGCAGTTGGGAGGACCAGGACAGCAGGAGAGGGCAATTGGGGAGATCAGGCCTGCAGGGGAGAGCAGTTGTGGGGATGGACCAGGCCTGCAGGGGAGGGCAGTTAGGAGCAATCGGGCCTGCCGGGGAGCAGTTAGGTTTTGATCAGGCTGGCACGGGAGTGGTTAGGGGGTGATCAGGCTGGCAGGCAGTAGCAGTTAGGGGGTAATCAGGCAGAGGCAGGTGAGCAGTTGGGAACCAGCAGTCCTGGATTGTGAAAGGGCAGTCAGACATCCCTCAAGGGGTCCCAGATTGGAGAGGGTGTAGGCTGGACTGAGGAACACTCCCTCCCCCAACCCCCACCCCCCTGCCCTGCATGAATTTCATGCTCCGGGCCTCTAGTTAAATATAATTAAGCCTCGAAAATAATTTTTGTCAAAAAAGTTTTAATGAACTATTATGCTAATAAAATTCATTGGCACTGTACAAAAATTTAATGTGCATGTATGTGAACAGCTGAATTAAATATTTATGTATTTACATACACACACCCCAAGGGAAAAAAAAATGACATTTACCTATACCGGTGCTTATAACTCATGGATCCAAACTTGCTGAGTTTTCTTGACAATGAATTTGATTCATTCTCCGGCATTCTAATGAATTTTTAAAATAAAATTAAATTAAGACTCAGAAATTAAGACTTTTGCAACAGTTGAGCAAAAGCTACATAGAAAACATAATCATGCAGCACTTTAACAGCTAGTCAAAATATCTTATTTGTTCTACACATTTGCAAGAAATAATAATCAGTTATTACAAGCTAACTGTTGAAACACAAAAAACACACTCTAGGAATTTATGTAATGTTGAAATACTTATACTTTCGGAAGACATCATTGCCCTCAGACGCTTTAGTTGTGAACCAAATTACTTTTTCTGCTTAAATGATCTTGGGAACTTTGTCACTAGGTTGATTTACCCAAGCCAAGGTCCTCACAGCAGTTAATTAATCGTATCTGAGGAGTGGTTCAGTCTCCCTTGTACTATAGTCCAGCACTTCCCACTCCAGGGTACCTTCAACAGACACCTCCTTGGGGAGCTGTTCGACCTAGCCCCCTGACCGAGAGGTAATGTCTCATGTTTTCTAGGAAACATCCCTGCCATAATACAAGCTCAATGAAGGACACTGGTCATTTTGTAAGAATACGCCTCCAATATCATGCTATTTGGGGAAATAGTCCCATGCAAATCAAATAGGAATAAGGGGAAGAATAAATCCAGTTTTAAATTTAAAAACAAATACAACTGAATGTATTACCTGATTAAATTTAGTGTTATCTTTACACCATAAAGATGTGAAATAAACAAAAAGTATCCCCACAGTCCAACAGTCAATTCTCCATCCCTACTTGATCTTCCAGGAGCACAGCATGCAACGGAGTAGCCAGCTCCCTCCCTTTTCAACATGACATTTTCCTCCCTCATCTTCCATTTCCTTACACACTTTCCAGGTTACTCCTTCTTATAATCCATGGCTGGCTCTTCCAGTCCTCTCAATCCTGGCAGGGTCCCACAGCCCAGTCCTTGGCTTCCTGCTTCTGTCTCTTCACTTTTCTCAGAGGTGACCTCATCCAGTCAGCTTTGCTTAAAATACTAAATCTACATGGCCAACCTAGGTCTTTCCAGTAAGCTTTATACTTCCAACGTCTCCATTTAGATGACTAACAGGCATTTCAAATTTAGTATGTCCATAGCAGAACACTTACTTTCCATGAATACCAAAGCTGTACTTTTTACACAAACAAACAAAAATTGTCCTTGGCCTTTTCTTATAATGTGAGCAAAGAAGATAACTATGTGTGCATGTATGTGTGTATGCATGTATGTGCGTGTATATATATATATATATATATATATATATATATATATATATATTTCTATTAATGTGATCAAGAGAATTAGGTGACTGAATAAATTAAATTTCTACTTGTAGATAGAACAGAATTCTTGTTATAAAAACAAATGCAATTTTCATTAGAGCAATCAACAAAACTTCCACATTAACATACCTAAAAAATGTATGATGTTCTACACTACACTTCCAAAGATGCTTGCAAGCAGTTTTACTCCGAGCTTCAAAAAAGAACGAAGTTTCATTGCACTGAGAGAGAAACAAAGAGAGAGAATGTGAATCACTGACCATACATTCTTCAGGTGACAGCCACAGGTAACAAAAATTCAAGTCAACAGTCAAATTATTGTTAACATATAAAACAAAGAATGATTATCTTTAACTATTTTTGGAGGATTGCTTTAAATTTCAATTAATTAAAGTTACAAAATATAAGTCCATGTAAATCTTAGTGCCATCACCTACTTCTACTAGTCTATCACCCATGACCATGGATAATCGGGGTGATGACACTGAAGTACCACTAACTTGTCGATCCCAAATGGGCACCAAAAACAGGAAAAACACTGACCCTAGGCAAATCAACTCCCAATAAAAAAAGATGCTCACAAGTCCATTCTTAACTGTATTTACTTTTTTAATGACTGAATAGGAAATCAAGCAAAATACAGCAACATAAGTAGCAAAATAATAAATCATAAACTCTGTGAAGTTATATAATTGCCAACTTAGTTTTAAATACAAACCAAGCTCATGTCTCAAATGCAGAAATGCCCCTGGAATGAGGTTCTATGGATTCATAAACAAAATCCTCAATGTGGAGGAATAATTAAAATGGTCCCCACTACTTTTAATAAGGACAGAACATTCATATGCATAACATTTCTCCCAAGTCCATCTGGAATGAGGCTCAACTTAAGAGTTTATTTGAAAAAGTGAAAGGGTGTGATAAAAAAACAACAACAAAAGAAACAGAGCTAATATTTGCATGTTACAACAAGGCAACCTGGAACTCCAAATCCTTGTGAGATGGAGGGACAATTTAGGACAATTCCAAGGTTTCTGGCTTAGATGCTCTAAGTACTAAAATACAGCAAGTGGGGAAAATGGGAATCTGGGTGGTGGTGGAATGGACAAGAAGTTCAGGCTATTTTGATTTTGAGGTGCCCATGGAATTGAGAACTAAACATACCTCATGGGCCAGTCAACATACAGGCGTAGAGCTGAGGAGTAAGGTTGCATCTGCTGACATAAATGATTGCACCAAAACGTTTAAAAAAAAAAAAAAAAAAAAAAAACCCTGCTCAGAACAATGGTACAGAGTGAATAAAGGTGGAGTCATAGCAGAGAAGAGAGAGGTCAAATGGACCAGGAGGCAATGGCCAGGGAGGCTGGGATCAGAGAGTAAGTCCATGACCCAGAAAGGTCAAACGGGGTTTCAAAGGAAGTTATTGCATTTCACAGTGAGAAATCTTCGGTGACATTCGTGAAAGGGGTAGGGAGCACAAAACTAGAGACGAGGCAGAAAAGTCAATGAATTCAGAAAGCGTTTTTCTCAAAGGTAAAAGAAACTGGGGGGAGGGATGGGAACCCAAGCATCCTGCTAGGAGAAGGGATGCTTAGAGGGACTTTTTTTTTTTTTTTTATCCTTTTCCTTTTCTTTTTTTGAATATAGAATATAAATATTCATGGTACGAATGCCAAAGGTTCCCAACGTAGATACACAATGATAACAAAATCTCTCTCCTACCACTGGCCCCAATTCCCCTCCCAAGAAGCAACGACTATTAAGAGTTTCTTATATAACAGATGGGTGTTTTTGAGGCCACTAGATTATCCAAAAATACAATGTACAAGGCGTGTATTTTAAAAAATAAATTTGCATGTGATTGCACTGTTACCAGATTAAATGATTCAGATAAAGCGAGTACAGGACAAACGCCTCCTCCCCCCACCTCCTCAGAATCTGCACCCCCTTGTCCCAGGGCCTTTCAATAACTGGCAGGACTGACTGGGCACCACCAGCAACAAGTGGTGGTGGCGGGGGTGACTGCTGTGTGACACAGCACTGTACCCTGTCAGCAAGGGCAGCCATAAACAAGGAGGCGCTTACGTACCTTTATCAAATGTACAAAAAGTTACTTAATTACATCTAATCCAGATTTTCAAAAGTGAAGGAGAAACCAAAGAGCATTCCATCTTAAAAACAAAGCAAATCTCCTCACATTTTTCATGGACTGATTTTCACTTCATTCTTCACAGAAACGTTTGTATTCTCCTGCTTTTCAAATAGACACCTGGTCATAAGATAGCTAATTTTTAATGTGTTTTTAAAACTACCATTACTTCATGAAAGGATAAGAGGTATTAAAGATCTAGCCAGAATTGGATTTTCTCAAGTTTTCTTCGGTACAAATATGCAAAAGGAACAAAAGAGCTTCCCACAGGCCTCCTAATTGCTGCTGCCATGTACAAATGACAAGTATAAACTCATCCTCCACTTACATAGGGCTTTAACACAGCTGCCTGCTCTTTATCCCATTGTAATTCAAATACTATAAGGGTGGTAAATAACAAAAAAGAGAGCCAGGGGTTCTGAATAAATCCTGTGTATTTTTGCCACTTACAGCAACTGCTGGTATGAACCTAACTGATAGAACATTGCAAACATCCCTTTCTTCCTACTGCTCCCCTACCTACAAATCTTTCCCAGAGACAATTAGCACCTCCCCATTCATTCATACAAAGATGATGAGCTGCTTAACTAGTTCATTCCAACCCACTGCTAAAATACTTTATACCCAAGCTTGCAATGGTTGTTTTTGACAAAATTAGTCAAACACCTTCATAGCTTTTGTCACTTTACACCAGAAGCAAAACTATGGCCTGAATCTACTTTTCTTTTTATTGTATGAACTGCCCAAGCTTAAATCACCTGTGACTCAGATATCATGTGGGGCTTCCCCGTGCTATGGATCTCTAGGTAAACTTGGCTCAAACCCCCAATTCTGTCACGTGTTAAGAATTCAGGACCTGTAGTCTATCAATGCGTTCCAACCCAATTATCTCTGGTCTTCTTAGTCTCTTTTCTCATCTTTGCTGGCTATGTTTCTCTTTGCAATCTTGAAAAAAATAAATCTACTTTAGCCTGGCTTCTGCTAAGTGCATTGAGATTACTGATAGGGTCGTGGAGGGGCTCACACTGCAAGCTGCACAACCACCTGCACTCCCGCCCCGCGGCCTCTCCCTAGCCCAACTCTCCTTGCCATGCGCAGCCCACACTCCAGCCAGCTCTTCTGTTCTTAGGAAGCAGCACAACTGGACAGTCTGCCTCCCCCAGCCTTTTAGAATTATGGAGATAAACAATCCTCAATCCTCAATAATTCTCAAATTGCTATATATTTGCCCACCTCCAAGGTCACTAGAAGTAACCTCAGGTGCAGTGCATATGTCAGATACCTAGGAGTAAACTACATTAGTGCTGCTAACAACAGTAAGATGCAGTTGTTACATACATACTATCAAGGCCCACAGCAAAGGGGCTGCATCAGTGAATCCTAGAGGCAAGAGGCTAAGGAGAAATGTGAGGATTACTAGGCTCAAGTATTGTGGAATTCTTTTTGCTGTTAATCTTCACCTGAGGATATTTTTTCCATTGATTTTTTTTAATTTAGAGAGAGTGCAAGGAGGGGGAGGGAAGGAAGGAGAGAAAAGGAGGAGAGAGAGAGAGAAAGAGAGAGAGAGAGAGAGAGAGAGAGAGAGGAGATTCAAAATGAGAGAGATTACAAAACATCAATCGGTTGCCTTTCTCACATGTCCTGACCCGGTTGGAGATCAAAGCCTACAACTCAGGTAGGTGCCCTTGACCAGGTATTGAACCCTCGACCCTTTGTTCTTTGGGCTGATGCTCTAACTATTAAAGAAAACAGGCCACGGCAAATTCTTTCTTTTTTTATTTTTTTAAAATTTATTTTTATTCATTTCAGAGAGGAAGGGAGAGGAAGAGACGGTATGGCCTTGATAGTATGTATGTAACAACTGCATCTTACTGTTATTAGCGGCACTAACATAGTTTACTCCTAGGTATCTGACCTATGCATATCATTGATCATCAGCTGAGAATCATTGATCAGCTGCCTCCTTCACGCCCCCTACTGGGGTTCAAGCCCTTGACCAGAATCAAATCCTGGACCTTTCAATCTGCAGGCTGATGATGCTCTATCTACTGAGCCAAACCAACTAGGGCCAGATTCTTTTTTTTTTTTTTTTTTAAATATTCAAGATCCACAAGATTTATATGTACTTGACAATTGTTAATTTATTTTAGGGACTGGAGGGAAAAAACAAAACCATCAGAGGGCTGATGGCAAATGACTGAAATGACTATTAATAAAGCAAAGGAAGGCAAGGTGGAAGTGAAATGATTATTTTATTCTTTAACTGAAAGTAGACACCAAAAAGTAACCACAAAATTTTAAGTGTTTTGAAAAATTTTATCTTTAAAAATCGTGAAGTTGAATAGCTGCATTAAAAAATTGAATTATTTGTGCATGAGAGAACACAGTAGTTCCACTGCTCTCTCTTCTAGGCATCCCAACCCAGAGCAAGAATTCAGAGTGAGCCCTGCAACAAAAATAAAAAGTACCAATCTTGTTATTACTTGGAATGAGATGTTAGAAGGGAATTTTAAAGCACCGAGTAAAATAATATCTTACTCAACTTTTTTCTTTACATTGTGCTCCCTAAAGAGTGTTTCTTACAACATTAGTATCTTGTAATACTGGCGAAAGAAAGAAAGGGAGGGAGGGAGGAAGGGAGGGAGGGAGGGAGGGAGGGAGGGAGGGAGGGAGGGAGGAAGGAAGGAAGGAAGGAAGGAAGGAAGGAAGGAAGGAAGAAAGGAAGGAAGGAAGGAAAGAAGGGAGGGAGGAAAGAAGGAAGGAAGATAGGAGAACGTTACGGTCAAGTAAGTTTGGAAAACAATGGGTTAAATATTCAGTTCATTTTTTTTTTTTAAATTTATTGGGTGACACTGGTGAGTAACATTATATAAGTTTCAACTCTACAGTTTTATAATACATCATGTATCTGTACACTGCGTTATGTGCTCATCACCCAAAGTCTAGTCTTCCTCCATCACGATAAATTCAACCCCCTTTGCCCTCTTTCTTTTCCCTCCACCTCCTTCCCCTTTGGTAACCACCAGTCTGTTTCTGAGCCTATGAGTTTGTTTTGTTTGTTCACTTGTTGCT